AAAAAAAAAAAAAAAAAAAAAAAGTGGCCTAGACCTTCATAAACTTAACAACTGGTCTATCTTTATTTGAATCTTGGATTCACAAATAAAAGGGTAAAATAGTAAGTAATCGTGCCATCATTTTGAATAGGCTGCTGAGATGTAGGTCAAGAGGTAGGCCTGCAGTGAGTCTTTATTTGAGAAGCCATAGAAATCTTGCCTCTTTCTCGAGAAGATCATAATCCTTTTATAGAGTGGACGTATCAAGCATAATAGTGAATGGTGTCGATGCCCAGTGAAGTTTCAGATGTTTGTGGATCCAATATATAAGCCAATATATAAGTAAAAGACATTGGAAATGTCTTAAAAGTTATGAAAAGTCCTGCTGTTCTTAAAAGTTATGAAATCTCTCCTAAGTTTTTAGATCATGAGTCAGAACAAGGTGACCAAAAAAAATTAGTTTTTCTCTAAAAACTATTAGTTCTTCTCTAAGAACTTCTCTAAGAGTGTGTGATCTGCAGAATCATACCTCCCGGGGCTGTCAACTTGTAAGCTTTCAAAATTAAGCAGTTTGTACTTGGATAAGAAATCTCTACAAAATACTTGCTCAAAGGGAAAACAATAGTAGGAACAGAATGGTTAGAGGTTGAAAGGGACTTGGCTATTTAAAAATATTATTTAGATCTTTTTTGCCTTCCTGAAGCGAGCTCATTCTGGAACACCAGAAAGGGACACTACCATGTTTAGATATAAGCAAGCAAGCCCAACAACTACTAGTGGTGATGGTAGTGCGTCGTTTTAGATGGAAAGAAAGCAAGCAAAGGGGAATTTAACTTGAGGGAGTCATTGTAGATAACCCCCTAAATTGTGAGTCAGAATTTCTTGATTTTTTTTTCTCAGTTCTGCCGCTAAATGGTTGGTCGACCCTGGAGATAAGTGAGTTGACTTCTCTGAACCTTGATTTCTTTATCTAGAAAATTAGATATTTAAAATTCTTTCTGTTTCTAAAATTCTGTAATTCTTTTCTAGATGCTTAATTCTTCCTTGTTCCTGTAGTGCTGCTCTGTTGACTCAGCAAATATTTATTGAGCCTCTACGTAATTTGTTCCAGTGCTGTGATGGTGCTGAGGATCCAAGTATAAGCTAAACCAGACACAAAAGTCATCCTGTATGATTCCATTTATATAAAATACCCAGAATAGGCAAATCCATAGAAATTAAAAAGTAGGAGGATGGGAAGCCATTGCTAATGAGCATGGGATTTCCTCTTGGGGTAACAAATATCTTGAATTAGATAGTAGTGATAATTGCAAAACATTGTAAATAAAACCCACTGGATTGGTTTTGGGGTTTTTTTTTGGAGTTTAAAAAAAAAAAAAACTTTAAAAAATAAAGAATGAGCTAGACAGACACAACTTTTGCCCTCATGTTAGCCTATGGTAGGGTGGGGTGGATGCATAAATGCAACCATGATACAGTATATATCACAATGGGCATGCAACCCAGATGTGGTGGTAGTGGTGAATCAGGAAGTAATTCCTTAAGAAAATTATGCTAAATGATGTCTAGAAGATGAGTAGGAATTAGGAACAGAAGAGGATGTTTCAGAATGTATGTTACAAAAGCCTGAAAGCTGAAGAGAATATAGTCCTTTAGGGTAATTAAAGTAGATAAGAATAGCTGATGCATAAAAGTGTAATGGAAAATGTTTAGAGATGAGGCTAAGGAGGCAAGAGCCAGATCTTGAAGGCGAAGGAGTTTGGATTTTATCCTGACGGCAGTGGGGGGCCACTGAAGTATTTCAGTCTAGGAAGTTATATAATCGAATTTGTAATTTAAAAAGAAAACTCTGGCCTTGGCCAGTGTGGCTAAGTTGGTTGAGCGTTGTCCCGTACACCAAAAGGTCACAAGTTCAATTCCAGGTCAGGGCACATGCCCGGGTTGCAGGCTCAATTCCCAGTAGGGGGCGTGCAGGACACAGCCTAAGGATGTTTCTTACATTGATGTTTCACTTTCTCTTCCTCTCCCTCCCTCTCTCTTTAAAATAAATAAAAACATGTTTTTTAAAAAGCGGAAAGAAAACTGGCTGCAATACAAAGAACAGACTGGAAAAGGGTAAGGCCATTAACAGGCCGGCTGGGTGGCTGGAGCAGTTCAGGCAAAAGATAAGGCTGATATGAGATCTAAAGCAGAAATGACAATGTGGTACTAGTCGGTTTGGCTCAGTGATTAGACTGCTGGCCAGAGGACTGAAGGGTCCCAGGTTTGATTCCGGCCCAGGGCACATACCACGGTTGCAGGCTCATTCCCTGGCCCTGATCTGGGTGCATGCAGGAGGCAACCAATGGATGTGTTTCCCCCTTCCACTCTCTCTGAAAAGCAATAGAAAAAATATCCTCAGGCCAGGATTAAAAAAAGAAAAAAAATGAAAGAAATTACAATATGGATAAAATGAGGAGTAGACATTTGAGAATTATTAAGGAGACTGGATATAGGAATGGTGGTGGTGATGGGGTGGAGGTAGAGGGGAGAGGGACAAGGTTGAGTCCTAGTTTTTAGACCTCAGCAACTAGGTATTTGATTCACTAAGCTAGGGAATAGAAATAGGTTTTGGGGAAAAGAATTCACATTTGGGTGTGTTGGGAACATCGAAGTGGAACTGTCTCATAGACAGAGGTCTAGATCTGTAACTCCCCAGAGAGACCTGAGCAGGGGATATATATATATATATGAATCACTAGAAGAGAAATAGTAATTGAAATAATGGGAATGTATTGTATTTGTACATCTAGGGAATGTAGTTAGAAGTAGGAAAAAAAAAGACGAGCTCCTGGGACAGAAGAACTCCAAAAACTAAAAATGATCAGGGAAAAAAGTCTGAAGAGGACAATGAAAAGGAACAACTGGAAGGCTGGGGGAAAAACAGGAGTTTTAGTACTAATACATTATAAGATTTTAAAAAATAAAATGCTTTATTACATATAATAAATTGTGTCTGACAGTATACCAAGTGCCTTGCAAATAATGACTCATTTAGTCTTCACAACAACCTTATGAAGTAGGTACTCTTACTATCCTTATTTTACAAATGGGGATACTGATGCACACAGCTTGCCCAAGATGAGAATGAATTGTAGACTGAGATTTGATCCTAGGTAGTTTGGCTCCAGAAGAGTCCACATGCTTAATTACTATGTTATGTTACCTCTCAAGATAAACACTTGCCTGGGTATACACTTATAAGAGCCCTGAAAAGTTGGATTTATTGTCTTCATTTTACAAAAGGTAAACTGAGGCCCTGGCTGGTGTGGTTCAGTTGGTTGGAATGTCATCTCGTAGACCAAAATGTTTCAGGTTCAATTCCTGGTCAGGGCACATACCTAGGTTGCAGGTTGGTCTGGGAGCATGCAGGAGGCAGCCAACCGATGTTTCTCTCTCACATTGACGTTTCTCTCTCTCTCTCTTTCTTTCCCTCTCTCTCCATTCCTCTCTCTAAAATCAATTTTTAAAAAATCTACAAATTCATGATAAAAAATTAAAAAAAGAAAACTGAGGCCCAGAGAGATTAAGTAATTTGATCAAGTCACATAGCTACTAGATAGTTGGGCAGAATTTGAATCCAGGTTCCTTAACACCAAAGCCTCTTTCTACTAGATTTTACTGCTAGTTATTTTCCTCTATGTACATACATATGTGTGTATAAAATTTAACTTATTTTATAAATGTTATTCCCTCAGATATTTACCAAATGCTAATAGTGAGTAGCTTTAAAATCTTTCTCAAAAGCAGGTGCCCTGGATATCTCAGAATTTTAAGTGATAATATTAATTTAATCCAGGTTATCTGTACATTAAAAAAATATGGATGTAGTAATGCATTGTGTTCTAATTGACTGATGCTATTCTCAAGGCTTGGTTCTCTAGAAATGCCATCAGCATGTCTTATGATCATAGATAAATTTTTTAAAAAACACCAATATAGAAAGCAATTAAAAATCATTATTCCTGTTATTTATTGTCTCTAAGACTGGCAGTTTGCCATGTTTTAATGGCCAAGAACTAGAGCTTAAACTCTTGTAGTTATTTCCCCCATTTTCTTCTTTTTTTAAAAAAAAAATCTTCACCTGAGGACATGTTTCCATTGATTTTAGAGAGAGAGGAAAGAGGGGAGAGAGGGGGGTTGGGGAAACATCAATGTGAGAAATATTGATCGGTTGCCTCTGGTACACTCCCAACTGGGAATCAAATCCACAACATTTTGGTGTATGGGACAGTGCTCCAACCAACTAAGCCACATGGCTTGGGCACTGGCACTGTTTTATTTCTTGCAGTCATTAAGGGAAACAGTTGATATGTTGAGTCAGATTTGAAGGTTATACTCAGAAATGAAAGTTATACTCTGAAGTCAACAAAAGATACCTTGGAATCTTTAAGGACCAAAGAAAGGAGTATTAGGTGGTTTTCAGTCTCATATAAAATATTGTAGAAGAGTGTCCCCTAGTGCTGCTTGGAAGAAGTAATTTGAGAGAAATTAAATATTACCTGTTTATTATCTCTGTCACCACCTTGTGGTCTCAAATAATTCTGCCCTCTTTTATTAGCAAAATCTTCCAGAATCTTGCATTAAGCTTTACACAAAAACAGGTCACAGGGTGATCCAGAGTGAAATTTCTTTAAGTGGATTATTTTACAAATATTTTGGTTAGAACTGTATAAAACCTTAAAAAGAAGCCACAGCCTAAATGAAAATCTTTTAAAAGAAATGGGGAAATGCACATTTTTTTTTTTTTATGTTAGTGAAGCAATGGGAAGGAAACCCAGATGTGTTTTATTTTTTCCATTTATTTATTTATTTATTTATTTATTTATTTATTTATTTATTTATTTATTTATTTATTCAAGGAAGGGCTTAAGATGGAAGAAGCAACAGGGGAGAGCCTAGGTGGGGCTACTTTGACTCTCTAGAAATTTTATAGGAAAGAAATGAGCCTAGGCTGGGCTGCTTTGGCTCACTGGGAAGTCAGAAAAAAAGGTGGCCTTGGGAGCAGGTTCAGGGGGCTAGCCTGAGATGAACTGAAGCTGCCCATTGTTTCCCTGGTTGCAAGTCTCCTGGGGTCTCTTAGAATTTAGGAGATGCATGCCTTTGGGGGAAGAAAAAGGGGAAGGGAAGGGTGTGGGCATGCTCTTGGGAGGGAGAGTGCCTAGATGTATTTTAAACAATGTTTTTTATTGTGGTAAAATGTACATAACATAAAGTTCACCACCTCAACCATTCCCAAGTGTACAATTCAGTGGCACTAAGCTTATTCACAGAGTTAGACAACCATGACCACTATCCATTTCTAGAAAATTTTCATCATCCTGAACAGAAACAGTACCCATTAAACTTTCCATTCCTTCTACCCTCCAACCTCTGGTAACCTCTGTTCTACTGTCTCTGTGAATTTGACTACCTTCCTCATATAAGTGGAATCATGCAATATTTTTCCTTTTGTGTCTGGCTTATTTCACTTAGCATAATATTATCCATGTTGCAGCATGTATCAGAACTTCATTCCTTTTTAAAGCTGAATAGTTTTCCATTGTATATACCACATTTAAAAAAATCCATTCCACTGCTGGTGAGCATATGGGTTGTTTCCACCTTTCGGCTATTGTAAATGACACTGCTCTGAACATTGGTGTACAAGTATCTGTTTGAATCTCTGCTTTCAATTCTTTTGGGCATATACCTAGAAGTGGAATTGCTGGATAATATGGTGATTGTTTAACTTTTTGAGGAACTGCCATACTGGTTCCGCAGCAGCTGTACCATTTTACATTCCCATCAGTAATGGTTTTAATTTCTCCACATCCTCACCATCGCTGGTTAGTTCCCAGTTTTTTGAACAGCCATCCTGATAAGTGTGAAGTGTAAACATTAAATTTTGAATTGACTTTGAAAATCAATTCACATGAAGTTAATTCAAGAAATTATTTTGAGGTGCTGCTATGTACAGAGCACTGTTACACTCTGAGGGAATAACAAGGATGAATAGAATATGTTGTTGACTCATTAGGTGATTTACAATAACTTTCTCCTCCAAATGCATTTGGGAGCAAATACATTTTCACTGGGTGGCTGGAAAAACTAACCCAGAGACTTTATGCCAAATTTTTAAAAATTGGTAGTGGAGATCAAAATATTTATTAAACTAATTTTCCAAAGAATATAGTCAAATACGATTTATATAGTTTTTCTTTGGAAAATTCACAATAAGGATTATGTTAGATAAAGTTTCTAATTTCTTTTCTTTTTTTTTGCAGGTCAGACTTAAAAGAATCCTGATACATTACTGTAATGGCCATTGCTCAGCTCTCTCACTCCATCAGAATTCACAAGGCATCTAAGGTATTTAATAAGAATTAAGACTGCTCTGTCTGTGTAGTAGCCTACTCTCCCTCTTACTGCTTCACTAATAAACTCTATTTCACTTAAAAAAAAAGAATTGAAATAAAATTGATGACTATTTAGTCAGTTAGTTCAGAATCATGACTTTAATCTTTGGAATTTTTTTTAAACAGTAGTTTTATCGGTTAATTGGCACAAAATTTCTGGCAGAGTATGTCTACATTTTAGTTGCTTAATGAACTGAAGATGTTCAGAAAATTAGAATAGACCCCTTCAAAATAACTTACTGGGTGCTTGTTTCATATTTATATATTTAGATTTTCTAGGGCAAAAGAAATCAGAAACAAAAAGATGTTTAAAGAGAATGGTTCTTTGCTAGACATTCACTTCCTAAAACAATTAGGAAACTTCTGATGTACAACATGGTGTAGTCATAAGAACTGAAGGAGAGAACAGTGAGAAAAACTTGTGTGCTGGGATGTGTGGGGTGCATGCCAGGGCTAGGCAGACTGCTGGTCTACCTTGGCAAGTTTACCTTGTCCCATGGCATTTATTAGTGAATCATTTAGGTATTCACTGAGAGCTCAATATTATAGAATATATATGTAATACTGTGTTATCCTCTGAAAGAATAAAAAAAAAAGAATCTTTACCCTGGCCTGGTGGCCCAGCTGATTGGAGCTTCATTCTGTACCCAAAAGGATTTGATTCCCAGTCAGGGCACATACCGAGGTTGCAGGTTTGATCCCTGGTTGGGGCGAGTATGGGAGGCAGCCGATCGATATTTTTCTCTCTCTCTCTCCCTCTCTCTCTGTCTCTCTCTAAAAATCAATAAAATCATATCCTCAGGTGAGGGTTAAAAAGAATCTTCGTCTTCCAGAAGTTTATGATCTGGTTAAATTAAGATTTGCAGGAGTTAAGTTAATATACAAAGTGGTATATGCATTACATATATGTGAAAAAGAGTAAAGCAATATACATTATAAGAATTTATATATTTTGTATAGACTGGAATAGTTTGTATATTCCTCAGGAAGGAGATGAGACTTAAGGTGAATCTTGAATGATGAAAATGATTTGGATAGAGGAGAGAAAAGAGAATTCCATGAGGAAAACCTTTCATATGCCTTGGCTCAGAATAAAAAATGAGCATGGCATGCTTCAGAGAATAACAAAGAAGCGTCCCTACTGATAAAAACAAAAACAAACAAAAAAAACTGGAAAAAATAAAAGAGATTGAGATGTATATGGAAGGATGGTTGAAAAATCAAAATTAAAAATAGTAGTATGGCAGCTGAGAGAGAAGAGGGAGAGTGTAGGCAAAAGTGTCAAGCACTGAAGAGAAGTTATATAGCACAAGGACTGAGAAGAGGTAGATGACAGGATGTGCTTGGTGACTTTGGAGGAAATAGTATAGAATGAATGGGATAAAAGATTGCAGTGGGTTCTGAGGATTGTGTGAAAGGGAAGGAGATTAAATAATTATAAGAAAGCTCCAATTTTGCCTCAAATCCATGGATCATTGTGAAATAAATTATATTAGTCTTAAATTACTTGGGTAACTGTCTCTGTCTCTCTCCTCTGCCTTGCCTGTGGAGATCTAATATAATGCAATACTTAAAGCCCGTTTCCTTTTGATTACCTATAAAGGTATCAGATTTGAAGTCTTGAAAAATCTTTACATCATGTCTGTGATAATGGTGTGATGGACCGACTATATTAAAGAATACTAATCTTTTTCATCATTGTTGTTTGTTCCAGGAAACAATTTTCCCATCCCAAATTACTAATGAGCATGAGTCATTGATAATGGTGAAGAAACTTTTTGCTACTTCTATCTCATGTATAACCTATTTAAGGGGCCTGTTTCCAGAGAGCTCTTACGGAGAACGCCATTTGGAAGGTAAAGTTTAACTAAATGGTTACTTTGGCTGTTATAGCCCTTTTCTCTATTTGGCAGGACTAAACCTTTCATTTCTCATAAAGTGTGCTAATTCCAAGTCATGGGCCAGTTCTTCAAGAACAATTTGCTAATTCATTTTCCATTTTAATTTCACTATGTTTAGTGGTTTTACTTATAGGAGCCATTAGTTCCTGGCTAGATACCAAATGACAAACTGAAGAGAAAAGAATCTATGGGGACAAGCCCAATAATTCTAAACTATACCTATAAAAGCAGCAGCCAGATCAAAATCTATTTGGATGCTATGGATTTGCATCATTTTGTACCTCAATTGAATTTGTTCTTTGAATTATACTTTGGCATTGAGGAAGTTTAATGGAGCCAGGTGAAAAATTCTCCTTCCTATTAACATATATGTTAATATGCTGTAACAAATACATACTCATGCCAAACCCATTTGTTGATTAGCATGGATATAATAGACAATTATTATTCTAATCAGCTTCGGTCCTTTCTCTCTTTTATAAAAAAATATGCTTTTATTGATTTTAGAGAGAGGAAGGGAGAGGGATAGAAACATCAATGAGAAAGAAACATCAATCAGCTGCCTCCTGCACGCCCCCTTCTGAGGATCAAGTTGCAACCCTGGCATGTGCCCTGACTGAGAATCGAACCAGTGACCTCTTGGGTCATGGGATGACGCTCAACCACTGAGCCACACTGGCTGAACACTTCTGTCCTTTCTTAATTGCCAGGTCCTCAACTTTTCTTCTGTTTGTTTGTTCGTTTCTTTCTTTCTTTTTTGTATACTTTATTTGATTTGAGAGAGAGGAGGAGAGAGAGAGAAACATTGATTTGTTGTTCCACTTATTTGTGCATTCATTGGTTGATACTTGTATGTACCCTGATCCATCCCCCAACCTTGGCATATTAGGATGATGCTCTAACCAACTGAGCTACCAGGCCAAGGTCTTTTTGTTTCTTGTGTCCTCAAACTTATGATCTCATTTTCTTATATTACAAGCTATTTCTGGCTCCTTTCATTCTGTTGAATTTTTAACAAATGTACCTAGGATTCCTCAGTTTTTCAAAATCTTATTATTTGTTTAAAAAGCTAGGTTGTGATAACAATTCAGAAAATCTTGCTGATTTATTACTAAAGTGGGAACTATCATTGGAAAAATAAATAGGCACACGCTCCCTCTTGGGAGCACACCCACAACTTTCTTCCTTCTCAGGCCTGCATCCTTACTTTTCTCTCCTAAACTCTAAGGTCTCCGTGAGACTTGCGACCAGGAGAGCAGTGGGCAGTGGCAACTTGTCTGGGCTTATCCCCTGAACCTGTTTCCAAGGCCCCTTTACTCTGACTTTCCAGTGAGCTAACAGCAGCCCCACCTTGGCTCATTTTTTTCCCTATAACATTTCTAGAGAGCCAAAACAATCCTGCCTGGGCTCCCTCCTGTTGCTTCTTCTAGCCTAAGCCCTTTGTTGTTTCACTGTCCCCAGGTTCAATAAACATACTCTCAAAAAATAAATAAATAAATAAATAAATAAATAAATAAATAAATAAATAAATAAATAAAGAGAGCTACAAGTGTCCTTGTAAGATTTTTTTAAAGAATTTATAGCATAACCCAAGGACACAGACAATGGTGTGGACTGGGGAGGAAGGTGGGGAGGTGGAAGGGCTCAATGGGGAGAAAAAGGGATATCTGTATTATTTTGAACAATAAAAAAATCTAACTTTACTTTCAATTTCTCATATCTGTATTTAATTACATACCTTGGCCTCATTCCAGTTTAATTTTCTTAAACAATATTTGACTCTCAACATGAGCATCAATGAAGTACATATATGCTTTAAACACAAAAGCAAGATATTTGTAATTATGATAATCTCATTTGTGTTATGTCCTTTTTTAGTTTATTGGCTATAAATCTGCAATAGTGAATATGTTTATAGATAGCACATAATTAAAGTTTCTCCTTTTGTTTGGAACATAGGCTTGGAAAAAGACATGTTTGGGGTGGTTAATTGTTAAAAAACAAAATTCACCTAAATAAATTTGAAGACCTACTTGACTTCATTTAGCAATTCATAAATTGGTCATCATCCCAACCAGCAATAAGAAGGGTACTCTGAGGGGTTGTACAAAATTGAAGCTTTTAATAGGAAGAAGGGTAGAGCAAGGAAGCTATTAAACAAAAGTGGATTATTTTGGGGCCATGACATCTTTTTGTGGAGGAAGATAACAGGAAGGGTTTTTATTGTGCAGATTGCCTCTTCTTTCTGTAATTAAGTTGACATAAGATTAACATGAGAAAAATAAATTTATTTTTGTATATACAGGAGCCCTAGACAAATATGAAAGCAAAGGCAGTCAAGCAATTAAGGCTTATATGCCATCCTGAGCTAAGCAATGGGATAAGAGCCTGGGAGTTTCAAAGAGAAGGGCAATTCACAGGAAGATAAAAGGAGCAGGTGTTTGGTAGCCAGATGTTTTCCCAGTTAATGCAGATAAGTCTATTAGATAAAAAGTTATCTCTGGTAATAACTCTCTTGCTAGGCCAGCCCCCCTATCTAAATTCTTTTAATCAGTTAAGGGAAAGGTAAAAGTTTACTTTGAGTCAGCGGGTATTGATTGCCATCAGCTCCAAATAATCCACATGCCAAAGTGTCACATTTTGGGATGTCATATTCTGCTCCCCTTCACTAGATTGTGTAAGGGTAGACTACTAAACTATAATCAAAATTGGAACTAAGCTAATTATCAATGTAGGATTTATTTTTAAATATTTAGCTATTCCAAATGTTTTTACAAGCTATAAAACTAAGTTATATGAATAAAATAGATAAAGGAAATATGTTTATTTAGAATGGACAATTTTAGTACAGCAGTCATTTAGTAGATGAAAATAGACTGTTTCTATTTTTGTAGACCTCAGTTTAAAAATCCTCCGAGAAGATAAAAAATCTCCTGGGTCACTGCATATTATCAAATGGTAAGTAACTGAAATTTTGCAAAGGTTGAGTATTATTTTTATCATGGCTGAAATTACCCATAAGACTTTATTTGGTAATATCACTTTTTTAAAACAATTTGTCTTTTTTTTTTTAGAATTTTCTACAGATTTATAACAACTATTCAATTTAACTTTAAGATACTGATTTAGTGTTATTTTTGAAGTAAATAGACTTGTATAAAGAAAGAAAAATACCAATCAGTATTTGATTACTAATAATATGCACGTCAATGTCCTGAACAGTATGAAAGCCAACAAGAAAAATAAAATGTAATTCTGTATCTCAAAATTGCTTACCTATTATTTATAAAGTTTTATCAGCATATTAAAAGATACTTGGAGTTTTAAAAATTGATTAAATGGGAAAGGTAAATTATTATTAATTTAATGCATTTCAAAGCAAAAAATAAAAATCAATTTTGTACTTGGAATATTTTTTGGCTTTGCATCTAGTTCAAATTGACATCAAACATTTATTTTTTTACAGGATTCAAGGTTGTTTTGATGCTTTGGAAAAGAGATACGTAAGAATGTTTTAACATTTGCACTAGGATCAAAGTCTCACCTTTTATCCCTTAAAAAAAAGTTTAGCCTTTATTGTGTTGTGTTTTAACGGTGTACCACTGCCTATATTTGCATTCATGAACCAGTTTCTTTTTATTTTTTGTCTTTGTTGGCCCATTGATGTCTCATTTACATCAATTAGAAACGAAACCCTCATTTTTCTCTTTTATGTACTCATATCTTTTGACCACAGAATTTCCTCTGAAGTCACTGGAAGAGATCTACAGGATGTGGGAGAGGGGAGACAAGAATCTGGCATTTAGCACATTGAGCATGTTCAAAATAGTGGTGATTCAGTTTGCAGATATGAAAGGCAAAAATGGGCTTAAATAATTCATTTTTATCCTGTGTTGGTTATTTTGTTAACTATGTTTGGTGCATATATATAGCCTGTTCCCTCAAAATAAGTAGTATTGTAGCTTGAATTTTAAGAGCATCAGATCTTTCTTGCTGCCCAAGACAGCTATGAAGGGTGTAAAAATTAGAGGCTCTAGTTCCTAGTTGAAGAGACAAGGTATATATAAATGAATTTTCTATCACTATTTCCCCCCTTTTCTCCATCTGTGTCTCCTTTTTAGTCCTCAATTTCTATTTCTTTAAGAAATCTTTAAGTGAATAAGTCTTACATTGTATTATTTAGTTGCTCACAGACATTTCCTTTTTCATTGAACAGTTATAATTTATGATTTATTCAACATTGACCTGGGGAACTGAGGGATACAAAAATAAAAAGATACAGGATTATGCACTTAAAGAGCTTATAGACCATGGCAGCAGATAAATGATATTCATATGCATGGTTGATGATCAGTTATTATACACTGGTCCAGCTGTACCTGATGTTAAAATACTCTGCATCAAGTGGTAAATAGCTGCTTCTCTGAGACCCTGAATGACCCCCAAGATCGTCTCCCTCTTACTCCACTAGTAGCTCTTTTGGGATCTCCACAGTCAGCTCCACAATCTAGCAACTAAAGGGTTAACAACCTGGCCTAGGGGAGCCTCCAGAAACCCAGCTCCAGGGCTGTTTTCATCCTTTCTGATTAGTCAGTACCTGTACCATATTGGGCTGTTAAATATTCATATTTTCATAACCTATTTTACTATCACCTCTATCACAAGTATGAATAACCATAATACTCTTAGAAAGTAATGCATGTCAAAGGAAAAATACGGATTGTGTGCAATGGAAGTATGGAACAGGAGGGGGCAAGGGGAAAACCTTTGGGAGTAAATGACTTTTGAGTTTAGAAGGCCTTTAGTATTTGGGTAAGTTGAGGGGGGGAGAGGTCATCACCGGCATACTGAAAGGTGCTCATTCATTCTCCTTCATCCATTCATTTAGCAACACTTCCTGAGTGTCCATCACTGAGGGGTAGTACAATATAGTTAAGACCTTGAATTTTGGAATCAGACGGTCTTAAGTAAATCCGAGTTTTGCCACTTGTGGATGTAAAAATGCCCAAACCTACAAACAATTTTTATAAGAGTTTATTTGATGCTCCTGAGAATAATGGTTTGCAGTTTCTTTTATACATTTGAGATTAAGGAGAGAACTAAGGAAGATTACATGAAGAGTGAAAAAACAAGATGGGGATTGGACTACAGGATAATAACATTATCTGCTCTCTAGAGGGTGGTTATTTCAAATGTTTGTTAATCCTAGATACACAAAAACAATGGACAGGGCTTGATTAAGGCAAAGATAAACCATTTACTAAAGAAGTTATAAGCCTGGAGCTTGACTATTTACCTTGACCTGCCCAGCTAGGAATTTATGATCAGATCACCCTATAAGGTTAATTTCTGTAGAACCTCTTTTTCTGTCCACACTCTTTATACCTGTGTGACCTTGGACAAGTAACCTACCTCTTGGTACCCTAGTTTCTTTACTTATAAAAAGGAGATAATAATAGAAATAGTTCTTAGGCTGAGAATTAAATGAGTTAGTAATCTGAAGCAGTGGTTTTCAAATGTTAGCTTGCATCAGAATCACCTGGAGGACTTGTTAAAACACACATTGCTAAGCTCTGCCTGAAAGTTTTTGATGTGAGAATTTACATTTTAGACAAATTCCAGGTGATGCTGAGACTAGTGGTCTAGGGATCATACTTTGAGAACCACTGACCTAAAATGTTTAGAAGACTGCCTGGCACATAATAAGCACTATGTAAGCATTCTCTTCTCTTCCTCCCTTTCTCCCTTTTTCCTTGCTTTCCTTCCTACTTCCTTCCTTCCCTTCCTCCCTTGCCCATTCTGTGCTTGACATTGTGCCTCAGTAATGGATGAGATAAAAAGGAGAGAAACATGTAATTCCTCCACTCAGGGAGGTCACAATCTAATAGAGAGTGTCACTTAAATAAATAATTGCAACATTACATGTACTAAAATAACAGTGCAGTATAAAAAGAGTATCTACTTAGTTTGATGAATTTTATTTAAATGATTACCTATGTAACTGAATCAGTCAAATTTATTGTTTTTGGAGATTAAAAGCCTGTTCTCTTAGATGGATGACTTAGACTCTTAAGTAAATAGTATTTATATTATTTTTCAGTTGTTAGTATCTTACAACTTTTCCCACGGTGCTCTCATTTCTAGTAGGAAATAATGTTTTAAAAATAATTTTAGTAAAGTCAAGTTTGAGTATCTAGAGATCTTAAAAGATGTTCTATTGAAAGTTATGATTATTTCTAGTGAAATTTTGGGTGATTTTTAGTTTTTTTTGTACTATACAGGGTGGGGCAAAAGTAGGTTTATAGTTGTTCATAGGGAAAATAATACAATAATTAATAAATAATAATATAAGAATGAACTCTGTGTGTCAAGTACTCACAACTATAAACCTACTTTTGCCCCACCTTGTGATATACTTGGTTTCTTTAAAACAAGCATGCATATGTATTTTTAGATAGGTATTATATAAAAGACACTATATTGTACATAGCCTCCTAATTTGTCTCCTTACTCCCATTCTTAGTCCCCTACCACTCCAAACTACTGTCACAGAAACCTGAGTCTGAGTGTGTCATTCTTTTGCCAAAAAATTTTCCATGGCTTTTAAATACATTTTTATTGATTTTTTTTTTATAGAGAGAGGAAGGGAGAGGGATAAAGAGATAGAAACATCGATGAGAGAGAAATATCATCTATTGGCTGCCTCCTGCACACCCCCCTACTGGGGATAGAGCCCGGAACCCAGGCATGTGCCCTGACAGGGATTCGAGCCCATGACCTCTTGGTTCATGGGTGGATGCTCAACAACTGAGCCACACTGGCTGGGCTTCCATGGCTTTTAAAACAAAGTTCAGAATCTGTCACATGATCTACAAGGCCTGTGTGATCTAATTTCCATCTGCTTTTCCAAGACAGCACTCTCAGCATTGCTTACTATGTTCAAGCTCCATAAGGAATTTAGAACATGCCAAGAGCCTTTTACTTTTCTGCATATTATTCCCTTTTGCCTGGAAAATTATCTTCCCTACCCAACATTCTTTACCTGGCTAACTCCAATTTATTCTTCAGATCTCAGCCTAAATACTTACTTCCTCAGGGAGGCCTTTCCTGACAGCCCTCCTTCCCCAGCCTCGATTGTCCCTCTGTTTAATGTTCTCAAACACCCTGAGCTGTTTCTTCATAGCAGTTAATACAATTGACACCTAGCTGTGTGATTTCTTTGTTTAATATTTTCTTCCCTGCTGGTCTGCATGTTCCATGATCAGGGGCCATGTCTATTATTATAATCCTCACTGAGGATATGGTGTTTTGTTGTTTTTTAAATTGATTTTTTTTAAAAATATATCTTCATTAATTTCAGAGAGAGGAAAGGAGAGGGAGAGAGAGAGATTAAAACATCAATGACGAGAGAGTCCTTGATCGAGCCCAAAACCCGGGCATGTGCCCTGACCGGGAATCGAACCCCGATCACCTGGATCCTAGGTCAGTGCTCAACTGCTGAGCCACGCCCGGCTGGGCTTAAATTGATTTTTAGAGAGAGAAGAAGGGAGAGAGAAACATCAATGTGAGAGAAACATCGATCAGTTGCCTCCCATAAGCACCTGGACCTGGGATCAAACTTGCAACCTAGGTATGTGCCCTCACCAGAATCCAACCCACAACCTTTTGGTGACTGGACGGAGCTCCAACCAACCGAGCCACCAGCCAGGGCTGGGACCATGTCTACTTTTTAATGAATGAACTTTTATTTAAATAATTAATATAAGATAGAGTTGCACTGTATAGTCTTAAAATCAATTGTATGCAGTAACCAAAATAGCCACACAGTGTCACTAAAGTTTTAGTCCTTTGGGTGAAATAGGTGAATAATTTGTTATGAAGTTGTGGTCCTGAAATTTTGTCATTTGTATTCTAGTTTTAAAAAATTTATCATAGACTTTATTATATCTCTATCTGTATATCTATATATTCAAGCAGAGAGAATCTATTTATAGTAATGTATATAGGTAGGGAGGGCAAGGGTTTTATAGATTTATATCAGACTTAAAATGTTTTACTTTAGTAGATTAGTTTCAAAAGGCACATTTTTTGGAAATATTTGTGGCATATTTAATTTTTAGTAATAATACATTATTGTTTTATATCTTTTACCTCTCAAAATATAGTACAACTTACAGAGAATAAGGATAGTTTCTTTCTTTCTTCTTTCTTCTTTTTCTTTCTATCCCTCTTCTCCCCAGCATAACCCTGGTACGTAATAGGCATTTACTTGAATGAGTGAATTATTAGGATCCCTTTTTCTTGTCTTCTGAATAATAAGTTTTTCTACTAAAATCTTTGGAACTTCTCTGAAATCATATTTTAATTAGCTTTTAATGAAAATAAGAATAACATGGGTGCAAGAATATAAAATATAGTAACAGTAGTTCTTTTTTTCTCTTGAAGCTACACATGGCAATACTTACAGTAAGTATACATTTAAAGACCAAGTCTCTGTTTCTACTTCATTGTCTTTTGGCAAGTGAAACATTAAAACAGTACTCTCCCTTTGCTCTCTTGAATTTCTTTATCTGTCCTATGACATTTTGGAATTTTTAAAAAATAGAATCTATCAGAAGTTTTTTATTTTTTTTTAAATCCTCACATGAGGATATTTTTTAGAGACAGTGAAGCGGGGGGAGGAGAGAGAGAGGGAAAGAGTGAGACTGAGAAAAACATCAATGTGAGAGAGACACATTGATTGGTTGCCTCCCAACCGAGCCCCCACCAGGGTTGGGGATGGCGCCTGCAGCTTAAGTACGTGCCCTTGACCAGGAATCAAACCTGGGACCCTTCAGTCTGTAGGTCTACGCTCTAACCACTGAGCCAAACCGGCCAGGGCTCTATGAGAAGTTTTAAAAAAAGATCACAAATTATATATTTCTTTGGTATATTGTTGTACATGGGAAATATATCAGATATACTATCTGCTTCATCTGTTGGCTATCAGGATTTCATTTTCCTTAAAGGTATGAGAAAACTTTATTTTATTTTACAGTGGTACCTTGGTTTTCAAACATCTCCATTTTCGGTTTATGAAGGCTGCAGACGCAGGAGCAAATGCTTGGGTTTTCCAACACGCCTTGGAAGCTAAGGTCAAGATCCTGAGGCCTAGCTGTTGGCCCCTCAGTTTTCAGTTTTTGAACATTTCAGAACTCGAACAGTCTTCTGGAATGGATTACATTAGAAAACCGAGGTACCACTGTATTTTTTTTTTTATATATCTTTATTGATTTCAGAGAGAGGAAGGGAAAAAGAGAGAGAAACAGAAACATCATTGATGAGAGAGTCATTGATCGGCTGCCTCCTGCATGCGCCGTACTGGGGATGGAGCCCACAACCCGGGCATGTGCCCTGACTGGGAATCAAAGGGAAATCTCCTGGATCCTAGGTCGATGCTCAGCTGCTGAGCCATGCCCATTGGGAAGGATTTCATTTTTTGAGTTACTTTACAGATTGAAGTTTTGTAGAGTTTTCTGAATTTTTATATACTTCTGGGTATAGCATGGTGAATGTTATTAAGAATAGGAAGAAAATGAAGAGATACTATTGAGAGTCTTAGATATAAGATTTATTTAAAAATTGTAAACCGTAACAAATTATTTAGAATATATTTGTAGTGCAGTCACAGTACAGTGGTACCTCGGTTTTCTAATGTAATCCATTCCGGAAGACCGTTTGGGTTCTGAAATGTTTGAAAACCGAAAACCAAGGGATCAAGAGACGACATCTGGGCCTCAGGATCTTGCACTCAGCAGAAGCCGTGGGGCATGTTTGACTTCTGAGGTGTGTTCAAAAACCCAAGCATTGACTTCTGGGTTTAGGGCGTTCGTAAACCAAAATGTTCGTCAACGGAGACATTCGAAAACCGAGGTACCACTGTAATCATAAATACCTGGTTATCAATTTTCTTATAGTCAGTGTTTACAGAGTACTCTAAAGACAGAATGAGCTTATTCTATTTCTAGCTTGCACTATATATCTTAAGATATCTGTCATCTATCATCTATCTATCTCTGTACTCAACTAATACAGCACAAATTGAACTCTTCACATAGAACATGTATTCTGTGAGGAGTAATCTAGTGTCTTTCAGAAATTAAATGCTGTTTATTTTTCCTTAAACAGCTTTACCCAAATCCCAAGGAACCTGAGGTAAGAACACACATAAAGATGGGTAGCATATGTACATTATATTTAAATATGTTTACCTAAATTGAAGCCATAGATGATGTCACTAGACTACGAGCAAAGTAATTTGTAGTGAGCTCTTTCAGTGTGTTTTATTATAAACTTCACCAATTCTTTATGAGATTTAAAAAACTACTTAGAAGCATTGCAAAATAAGCATCAAGTAGAACTGAGCTTATTCCCTAGCATGTTAACATTAAGAATCTCTGCTTGTATAAAAATCACACTTTATTATTTATTTTAACTGACTCTGGATCCTTTCTGGTTGTGGCCTGTTGGAAGATATGGCATAATTCTAAACTCCCCCCCCCCAACTAAATTCTCCCCTTTTTTACTTTCTCATAGATTTTTAGAGCTTTACCTCTGTTTCTTTCTCTAAATTTCTTCCCTCCACTTATTGAGTTCTACTCATCCTCAAGGCCAACTTATGACCAAATATTTTATGAAAGCCTCTTTGCCTATTCTGTTCCCACTAATTTCTTCCTTTTCTATATTACGTTTTCATCAGGACCCCACAATTTAACACTGTCAATGGATTCATGTAGATTACTTTATCTTCCCAACCAGATTGTGAATTCTTGAGGATAAGAGTCTTGTCTTGTTTTCTGTCTCCCAAAGGGAATATTATAGCCTTGGACGTGTCATGGTTACTTGTGCTGCTTTGAATAGAAACTGTAGTGGTGGCCTAGAAATGGAGGGAGAAGCCGTTTGTTCTTCTCTATTTTCTTTCTATCTTCCTTTCTGGTTCCTTTTCCTTTTTTCTTGCTTTCAATCTTCCTTCTCTAAGCCAATGGATTTAGCCTAATTAGTGGCATTCGAGACTAAATTAAGCATTTTTAGTCTTTAAGATCCTTTCTTGGCAAGATTATAACAGCTGTTTGAACAAGGTGGAAGAAAACTGGAACAGGCAGCCGGGTAACAATTCCTTAAGGCCAAACTACCTCTTTATCTTGTGTAATTTCAAAATGCTCTTTTTCTCTCTAGCTTTAATGGGAAGTTTCCCAAACTAAACCCTCCTGATAAATTGTTAATAAATTGGTCACTTCCTTAGTGCAATAAATTATTATGTTTTCTTATGCATGCAAAACTTTTACTCTGAAATCAGTGGTTTTGAGGTAGTGAAATGCATAGCAAATTGGGCTTAACTACAGAAAAATCTTACAGAGTGGGAAGAGAGCTATTAAATTCGCTTTGCTACACACAATATATACATATAACAGTGAAGTTAAGAAACAAAAGCTTATTACATGATAAGTTCTGAGCTATCATTTATGATCCAGAAAAAATATTTTGAATGCTTATAAATTCTTCCCTGTAGCGATGATCCCTAACCTCTCTGTGTTCATGGCACACACTGAGTATTAGAAAGTTTGGTGGTATAATTGAGGGTATTAAAAGACTCAAAATGCCCTGGCCAGTGTGACTCAGTTGGTTGGAGTGTCATACCAGACATGGAAAGGTTGTGGGTTCTATCTCTGGTCAGGGCATGCATGGGAGGCAACTGATCGATGTTTCTCTCTCATATCAATGTTTCTCTCTCTCTCCCTTCCCCTCTCCCTAAAATTAATAAAAACATATCCTCAGTGAGGATTAAAAAAAAAAGACTCAAAAGGACACCCAACAAGTCAGCAATAATTACAGTATAACTATGGTATAATAATGCTCATAGTGCCTGGAAGTATCCTTGGAGTTACACTGTTTTATGGTTGCTGTTAACATCAAGTCAGTAATAGAACTATTTACCTCACTAGTCTCATTCTTTTATATACTCACAAAACAACATTCTCACATAAGCACAGTCTTTCTTTGGCATTTGTCTGATATTGTGCCATGTTTCTTGACTCATATTTGTAGAACTGAATCCTCCCTTAAACAATAACAATATTAATATTTACCTGAAGTAAAATACATTTTACACATGGATTAAAATTTGCTGCATGCCTATGAAGAGTCTGTCATGATACAAGAGTTGAGAACCTCTGTCTTAGATAAAGTATGCTTACTCAGTCCAGAGGCCAACAAGAGTTTTGAGCATTGCACAAAGTTGTGGCACTTCTGCACTTAAGTTTTAAGATGAACTGACAAAAGTCACTAAAGTAGTAAAGAGGGATAGTGTAGCTTTTCCACAGACACACACTACAAAATGTGTAGAGGGTATTAATAAGAAGTTTAGCCAAAATGTAAATATGTTAAGGAAAGATTTATACAACTCAGTGCATGATAGACCCATAAAGAATATGTGAATATTGTGAGGATACAATTCTTACTGTTCCACAGTCTATTCCTTTGTGCCTATTGGATGAGGTTCAACACCCACTATTAAAGAGCTTTTGAAAAAAAAAAAAATGTTTTTATTGATTTTAGAAAGAGGGGGAGGGAGAGGGAGAGAGATAGAAACATTGATGAGAGAGAAACATCAACATCGATTGGCTGCCTCATGCTCGCCCCCTGCTGGAGACTGAGCCAGTAACTCGGGCATGTGCCCTGACTCGGAATCTAACTGAACCTGCTACCTCCTGGGTGCATGGGTCTAAGCTCAACCACTGAGCCACACTGCCAGGCTCAACACTCACTTTTAATAGGCTGCTTCAGGAACTGAACTTTGGTGGTTCCTGTTTCTAGCCACAGTATGCTTTTAGAGACTTTGTTTAAAAACATTTTTTTAATCCTGTTGAAATTCTAATTGAGTATCAGCTCTATCCTGGCTGAATATTTCTTCATTCAGCGAATATTAATTGGGTTCTCTTTACGTGCTTAGCAATGTCCAAGGTGTAAAAACACAGGAGTTAATGGGATAGACAAGGTACCTGCTCTCTGGAAGCTTAATTCTAATGAGGGACTATAAATAATAAACAAGTAAACAAAATTAGCAAGTCAATTTTGGGTAGTCATAACGCTATGAAAACAATAAAAGAAGGTGGTATGCTGGAGAGTGCTGAAGTGGGCGATAGAGGAGAAAGGACAGGAGGACAGTCCGTGGAAGGGCTCTCTCAGGGGCCACTGTTTGAACTGAGACTGAATGACCAAGGCATCAGCCTATGCTTGTTAACATTACAGGTGCTGGAGTCAAATCCCAGCTCTACTACTTGACTATCTTCACCTAGGATAATACCTACCTCAGTGTTGGTCAAATAAGAATGAAGAGATGCAGAGAACTTAGAGCAGTGCCCAAGTATTATCATTATCATCAACTGAAGACAACATGTTCCAGAGTACAGCTGTGCAAAGGTCCTAAGGCAGGAAGATTTTGTGTGTGCTTGTGGACAGAGAGGGTGTCCTGAGCCTGGAACTTAGTGGGAGGGAAAGAAGCAGGAGATAAGATCAGAGAGGTAGGGGACAGATGAGTAAGGCCTTGTGGACCAGAATAAATTTTGGTTTTATTCTAAGGGCAGTGGGAAACCATTGGGAGTTTTAAGCAAAGGAGTATCATTGTCTGATTTGTAATTTCAAGAACTCTTTTTGGTGATAAACAGAAAATGAATTATAGGAGGAGTTTGGAAGCAAGCAGATCAAATAGAGATGGTGGTGGCTTGGATAGGGTGAGAGCAGTGGAGATGAGAGAATCAGGTAGAAGGGATATGTTGTGGCAATAGGTCTGAAAAGATCTATTTTTGTGAACAGATAAGAATGTGGAGGGAGAAGGAAAGTCTGGATATGTTGCTATTGCTTTGGTCTGTATAGATATATTCAATGTGATTTATAGAAATCATTGATAAGCAGTTTAAAGGGTCATCTTTATTAGGCAACTCAGTAATCTAAAAATCAGAACATTTTTATGAAGCGTTAAGAAGAGACTAGTGCCTGCTGTAAATATACCTTCCTTGATCAGTCAGACTGAAGTCATTAAGGATTAGCATCTTCTGTAAAACAATTATAAACATAAATCTTTTTTAAAAATATATTTAGTGATTTCAGAGAGAGGAAAGGAGAGGGAGGGAGAGAGATAGAAACATCAATGATAAAAGAGTCATTGATAGGCCGCTTCCTGCACGCCACGCCCCCACTGGGGATTGGGCCTGCAACCCGGGCACGTGCCCTGACCAGGAATTGAACCCCGATCACCTGGATCCTAGGTCAACACTCAACTGCTGAGCCACACCCGGCCGGGCAACATAAGTCTTTTATTAGTTGCTTTGGGGACCAAATAATAAACTGTTAAAATTATCATTTAATAAATAATCTATTCTATTTTTTTAAAATAATACACCTTTATTGATTTCAGAGAGAGGAAGGCAGAGGGAGAGAGAGATAGAAACATCAATGACGAGAGAGTCATCATTGATCAGCTGCCTCCTGCACGCCCCCGACTGGGGATCGAGCCCACACCCTGGGCATGTGTCCTGACCGGGAATGAAACCAGAAATCTCCTAGATCCTAGGTCGATGCTCAACTGCTCAGCCACGCCCAGCTGGGCAAAGGATCTATTCTTGAAACAATTTAAAAAATGAAAGGTAGCTCAAAGAATCAAAGCTAGAGTGGTTGAGAAACATGGGCAGGCAGGAAGAATAGGCATTGTTTGCTTGACAGGGCAATTACACTCAACATTAGCAAGAGAGGATGCCTTGAAACTAGCCTGTCTGAAGTGAAGCTGTTGGTGTAAGCACCTCTAGTTTCACATACCTCTCCTACTGTACAGTGCTCCCTCGATATCCTGGGGGTTGGGGTGGTTCCGGGACCCCTGTGGATACCAAAAGCTTTGGATGCTCAAGTTGTCATATAAAGTGGTGTGGTATTTGCATATAACCTACGCACATCCTCCCGTATACTTTAAATCATCTGTAGATTACTTGTAGTACCTAATACAATGTAAGTGCTCTGTAAATAATTGTTATACTGTATTGTTTAGGGAATAATGACAAGAAAAAAAGTCTGTACATGTTCAGTACAGATGCAACCCTCATAGGCCTAACAACATTGTGCACGTCAGCAACCGCGTAACATATTTTTTCCCGAATATTTTTGATCCTTGCTTTGTTGAATCTGAAGGTGTGGAAATTGCAGATACACAGGGTCTACTATACTTACAAAACAGCCTTCTGAACTTGGTTGGATTTTTCGAGTACACTGTCTTGCTAGAAAAAGACTTTTTCTTTTTTAAAATTAACTCCATTAAAAATCAATGTTCTTTGGAATTTAAGCAGATGAGCTAATTTCCCTAGGACCTGATAATTTGTGATTAATGGGATACCAAATCTTATAACAGAGAAAAGTAACAAAAACATTGAGACTTTTTCTGATCAATCTAACATCCTCATTCCCACATTGCCAAGGAACAAATAGTGAAACAGATGAATGAAGGGAATTTTTTGTGTTCTGACTTAACTCATACCCTTTTCCTGTGTTTAATACCTTCTCCAGCTTTGTGGACACACTACACTAACTGGGCCAAATGTTTGCTTCAACTACTAGACAATTATTTTATTTTCAATGGAGTATATTTCTCATGAGGAAACTTGCCCCCCTTTTTTATTTCTAGCTTTCTTAACAATGAGGGGAGAAGATAGCGGTAGTACCTAGTTTTTAGTGCAGGATGAAAAAAACAAGACCTGAAATCATAGGTCCTAGTTCCTTTTCTAATTTTTCCACTTTTCCTATTGCCATTCTAGTCTTCTCTGAATTACTGCAGTAATTGCTCTTAATTGTTCTCATGGTTTCCACTTCTTTCTTTCTACACTCTTAAAATAGCCAGGGTGATCTTTAAAAATGTAAATCACTCCCATATTTAAAAACCTTCAATGGACTTGGGTTCACTTAGAATAAAATCTAAACCCCTTACCATGGCTGACAAGCCCCCAAACTTCCTCTACAATCTCATCTCCTGCACTCTCCCCCTTACTCACGCATTGCCAGCCACTCGGCCTCCTCTCTGATCCTGGAAGAGGCTTTCTTTCTTACTTTAGAGACTTTGTATTGCTGTTACTTCTGCCTGAGACACCCCATCCTCCCCCAGGTCTGCACATGACTGACCCCTCTTGTCACTGAGGCTCAGTTCAAACAGGACCTCTTTAGTGAGGCCTTCCTTGGCCCTTTCAAACCAAATCAGCACCTCTCCCCTTCGTTACTATCTGTCACAGCTTCATATTACTATTACAGCTTCATATTACTATTATAGCTTCATTACTGTTCTGTTCACAGCACTTATTACTATCTGAAATTATTTTGTTTACCTATTTATTTTAAAAAGCCTATTTATTTATTTATTTATTTATTTATTTATAAATACATTTTTATTGATTTCAGAGAGAGAGAGAGGGAAAGGGAGAGAGAGATAGAAACATCAGTTATGAGAGAGTTGTCATTGATCGGCTGCCTCCTGCATGCCCCCTGCTGGGGATCGAGCCCACAACCCCTGCCATGTGCCCTGGCTGGGAATCGAACCTTGGTCTCCTGGGTCATAGGTTGATGCTCAACCGCTGAGCCACTCCAGCTGGGCTGTTTACCTATTTATTCACTATCTCTCCCACAAGGCTGTATATTCTAGAAAAACAGGAACCTTTTCTATCATGTTCACCACTGTCACTCCAGTGCCTGACACAAAGTTCAGTAAATATCTGTTACATAACTAAGTGGTTTCTCAACTGGTTCCACTGTCATTTACCTATGCTGGGTCACATACTTGTCTTTGTGCCTTAGTTTTTCCAGCTTTAAAATGGTAACAATAGAATTTGCCATCTAACTCATTTTTAGCATGGAGGAAAAAGTTTGTTTTTTCTATATCTGCAAATATTATTCCTGAATAATGTAATGCTATGAAACAAACAGGTAAGTAGGAAGTATAGTAGATACACAATGAAAATGGTCCTTATCTAGTATCAGATAAGATTCTGGATTTCTCTTTTAATATATTTTTAATTTTTCAATTACAGTTTACAGTTGATATTATTATATATTAGTTTGAGGTGTATAGCATAGTGGTTAGACAATCATATACTTTACAAAGTGTTCCCCCAATATTTCCAGTACCCACCTGGCACTGTACATAGTTATTACAACATTATTAACTGTATTTCCTGTGCTGTACTTTACATTCCATTGACTATTTTGTAACTACCAATCTGTACTTCTCAAAGGATTTCTTTTTAAAAGAAATTTGTTTCTCTATTCCCTTTGATGTTTCTAGAAAGTGACTGAGATATACCAGTTCAAATTCAAATACACAAAAGAAGGAGTCACTATGGATTTTGACAGGTAGAATCTAATTGTTTAATGAATGTGAGATATATATATACATATGATTGGGGTAAACATAAGCCTCTTGAGGCCAGAGGTAGGCCTCATAGTTCCTTTGTAATTTTCCCAACAATCCTACAAAAAACACCACCACTGCTATAAAAAGGGATTGTAATAATTGTTTAAATTTCTGGTGGGAATAGGGGCTTCCTTTCCTTCTTTCCTCTTTTTCTCATAGGTGATGTTATTAGGGTCTAAAAGCAGTTACGTTTAGTGGTTAGAGTTCCAATTCCTAAGGCAGAAAGATCTAGCTTGGAACCCCAGCTCTGACTATTACTGGTTATATAACTTTGGACAGATTACTCAATCTCCCTAAATTAGTATTCTCATCTGCACAGTGGAGTTAATAATATAGTATCTACTTCATATGGTTGTTGTGATTATTAAGTCATAACACATATATTAAGCTTTGGCCATGCCTGGCACATAATAAACACTCAGTAAATGGTACCTTGTGGTAGTGGTGGTGATGGTGGTGGTCCTTGAAGGCAATGGTGGTTGGTAGACAGCACAGCAGTAGAAATTACATTAATGAGGCTGTCTACATGGTGTTGACTGAAGAACTCCAAAGGCTCTGTCTATCCACTAAACCAAAATTTCTCCATTGCTATGCCAAGATATTGATCCTCTTTGCCCTCGATATAGCCAAAACAAACCTGCTTTTAGACCCTAACATCACCTGAAACCCCTGAACTATTTGCTTATAGACACAATCATTCTCATCTGCTTGTCTCAGTATGTCATGCAAATATAGTTTTCTATGTATGTCAAGTCTCTTATTTCCAAATCCATTGTTCTCACTATTATAACATGGTTATTTGTAAATCAAATTTTAAAAAATCAGGTCATATTTAAAATACCTTAAGGGAACTTGCTGTGTAAGAAATCCTTTTTATATACACTGCAAAACGAACAGTCTCTCCTCTAATATACATTCTAAAAAGAGTTTCAAGAGTGTCCTGATGTTTAATTTATATTTATTTGATCTTACAGTAAAAGGTTTTGTTGTTTTTAAATATATTTTTGATATTGTATATGGTTGAAAAGTATGCTGTTTTTCTATGTGGTTATAGCAGTAGTACAAGCATTGGAAGTGGGACAAAGAGTGAACATATTAAGAAAGCCAGTATTCTACTCCTCCGTAAATTGTATATACTGATGCAGAACCTTGGACCCCTTCCTAATGATGTTATACTTACTATGAAACTCCACTACTATAATGCAGGTAGGTGGAGACTTGTAGTCAAATTCCTTCTTAAATGTTGAAGTAGTATTTTATGTAATTAGAAGGATTTTGTAAGCATCAGAAACAGATGTTGGTTGTTACACATGAAAGATTAAACTGATTTGTTCTGTTGAAACTCAGTTTTCTTGGTTTTCCACACCTTTTATTTTGCAGTGACCCCACATGATTATCAGCCCCCTGGTTTTAAACAAGGGGTAAACTCACACATCCTGCTGTTTGAGGGGGAGCCAGTAAACCTGCAAGTGGGTGTGGTCTCAACTGGCTTTCATAGCATGAAAGTAAAAGTCATAACTGAGGCCACCAGAGTGTCCGATTTGGAGGATAATCTCTTTCTGGAGAACAGCATTACTGAGATTGCCCATCAGGGCCTGGACTGTGATGAGGAAGAAGAGGAATGCAACCATCAAGTAAGGCAAAGCTTTAGTGAGCCTTCATGCTTCAGTTAAACACAGTTGACATTTTTCAATTACTATACAGGTCATATCACAGTAACAGGGTCTAATGGAGTGTTCCAGGTATGAAAAATGAAATAAAACTGCCCCCTAACCTTAAGAAGTATTTATTCTAAAAAAAAAAGTACTGTCTTCAAGAAGGAAATATACTTTGTTAGATAAAATTGTCCATGACTAGGAAAAGAAAAAGACTTTCCAGTGTATTTCTTTTATAAAAGATACCCATGAATTTAGAAAATTTTGGATTTTCTGTCTTTCATTTATAAGTAATACAGTGGTACCTTGGTTTTCGAACATCTCCGTTGATGAACACTTTGATTTACGAAAGCTGTAAACCTGGAAGTAAATGCTTCGGTTTTTGAACACGCCTCGGAAGTCGAACAGGCCATACGGCTTCCACTGAGGGCAAGATCCTGAGGCTTAACTGTTGGTTGTTGATCCCTCTGTTTCCAGTTTTCGAACGTTTCAGAACTGGAACGGTCTTCCTGAAAGGATTACATTAGAAAACCAAGGTACTACTGTAAACGTATTCAAAAAGAATATGGAGGCTTTGCTAGAAATAAATGGTAGAGATTTATTCAAGGGTCTTAGAATTTGCAAACTGAAAACACAGCTAGGTAAAAACATCAAAGTGTTCCAAAGAGAAGGGAAAGTTAAAGGTTGATATGGCAAAAAATACATTCTTGAGAATTATCAGTCCTGCATTCTTGGTCCTAGCATTGATCCAGGACGGTTATCAATCAGATGCAGGCAATTAGGATGTTGGATGCTGGGTGGTTCAAAAGATGAGTGCCAGGAAGTCTGGTCACATCCCAGTGGTCTAGATAATGGATGTCAGGTGTATGTATACATGAGTCCTTTATGGGATAATCAGTGCCTTGGATACGTGAGTCCTTCAGGAGATAATTAGAGGGTTACCTGGAGGTTCAGATGTATATCTGGACCTGGAAAGTTCAAAAAAGTTAAAGTTTTAAGGGTAGTTATTACAAGAATGGTGTCTTTCCTCATGTCTCAACTTTCATAATGTTAATAACTTTAGCAGCTTGGTTAAAGTAACTCCATTTTATATATTCCCTGTCTTCACTCTTTCCTCAGTTGTTTTTGGGATTAAAAATATATTCTAAGTGTTTATTCAGATTCACTGGAAGTACAAATAAGTTCTTGATTACTGGGGAAATTGGGTGGGAGGGGGTTGGGAGAGAAAAATTTATGGATAAACTCAAGTCACAGTGAAAACAAAATGATAGTCAACTCTTGATTATGTAAGAGAGACAAGCTTTGAATCTAGATCTTTAAGGGAAGCCAGGGGACTGTGGTAGGAGCTACTGGAACCAAACAGGCAGAGTTCTGGGCCCTTTACCTTCCTGCTTTCTTCAGGAGAGGCTTTGAGTTGAGTATTTGCTAATACCCCACTGTGTTCTAGGTAAATCCACACTCCGTTGTCTGGATAATAAAGTTTACTGAATGCCAACATTGTATTAGAAGGGTTCTCAGTTAGATATAAAGAATTTTCAGATGCCTAGTAGAAAGAGATGCTATAAAATCTTTTTAGGGACTATTTTAAAATAAGGATGCTAATTTATTTGCTTGAGATAGTTTGAGTCCTACTTAAAGATAGATGGTTATGGTAGGTAACCGTTGAAGGTTCCTGTTGGTTCTTTAACTGTGTATTATGTTTAGTCCATTGAAAAGAGTCTTAATTTAATTAATATAAATAACCAAACAACAGGATTTTTTTTCACTTTTAGTTAAGTATTTTTGCAATGTTATATACGATAATGGCTTTAAATTTTGATGCAATTGTCTTCTGATTCTACTCAAGGGAGAAACAGGTAACATAGGTTGGTTTAAAAAATAAAGGTTAAGAAGAGATTGAGCATGTATCAACTGGATTTTTATCTTTTAAAATTAAGAATTTTTTTTTTTTTTTTTTACCAACTGACAACTTGAGAATGAATAGTTCAATTGCTAGATTAAATAAGACACAATAACACTTTCCAAGCATCCATTTAGTAGCAGCCATATACAGCTGACTCTTGAACAACAGGGGTTTGAACTACACGGGTCTACTTACATGCAATTTTTTTCAATAAATATTTGTATTGTTTTCTTTTTTCTTCCTCTTCTTGTTTTTATGCACCTGGGGGAAGAAGGGGGAGAAAGGCTCTGGCATGCTACAGAGAGAGCATGTGCCGAGGAAAGAAGGAGTCGGCAAAAGGCACGGGTGTGCTCGATAGGGAGAGACGCCAATACCTGTACTGTTTTTGATCTACCCTTGGGAGTCCGTGGATATAGAGGACAACTGTATGCATTGATTTACAGCATTTTATATAGGGGATTTGAGCATCTGTGGATTTTGGTATTTGTGGAGGGGTCCTGGAATGAATTCCTCATGGATACTGAGGGGCAACTTACATTTGGGGGGAGTCAAAAGTTATACTGGGATTTTTCAACTGTGTGGGGGTCAGCACCCCTGACTCCAGCGTTGTTCAAGGGTCAACTGTATACAAAGATGGGGACTTTGTGATAAGCTCAGTCAATTCAAATTCCTCTCTCAGTTCTCCAATCAAATCACACAAGGGAATAATTTAGTAAGTCTAGTGAAGCTTACTGACACTTTCCCACTAAGAATTCTGTTGTTCCTTCATGGAATACACATACACACACACACATTCATATGTAGAACCCTTTATTGTTTTAAAAATTATTTTACAGTATTTTTAAATGTATCATGCATATAGCAGGGTATATATAAATAGTATGGACAGTTTAAAGAATAGTGAGAACATCCATATACCCTCCATTCTGGCTGAGAAGTAGAACATTGTCACTACGTTAGAAGCCACCATGTGACCTTTCCTCATTGGACCTTCCCCTTTTCCTCCAAAGGTAATTGCTCTACTAAATTCTGTGATAACCCTTCCCTTACTCTTCTTTATGGTTTTACCATCTCTATCTGCTTGTTTAAAATTTTTATACAAATGTAATCATACTTTAGGTATTTTCTGATTTGCATCTTTTCCTTGACCATCAAAAATGAGATTTATTCATTGTATGTGGTTGTTGACTCATTTTCACAGCTGTAGAATAATCTATCTATTCTTAATATACATTCTTTCTTTTTAATCGTTATAAACATTCATGTACACACCTCCTGGTACACATGTGCAAGAGTGTCTCTAGGGAATATACCAAAGAGTCAAAGAGTCCTAGGGCTTGCACATTTTCAACTTTATTAAATAATACAAAACTGTTTTCCAAAATGTTTGTACCAATTGATACTCCACCAACAGTGGAGGAGAATACTCTACATTCTTGTCAACACTTAATATTATCAGAGTTAATTTTTCTACCTATCTACCAGATGTGAAATGGTAATATGACATAGCTTTGATTTGCATTTCCCTGATTTTTACCGAGTTCGAGCATCTTTTCATGTATATTGGCCATTCTGATTTTCTTTCATATAAAATAACTCTTCAAGTCTTTCATGCATCTTTCTGTTAGGTTATTTACCTTTTCCTCATTGATTTTAAACATGCATTCTACATAATAATTCCTTTTTACTTATTTATGTCACTTTTTTTTCAGGTTTGTGGCATATCTTTCAATTTTCTTTAAGATGTCTTTTGCTAAAGAGTTCTTAATTTTAATGTAGTCAAGTCTTTTCCTGTAATATGTACTTTTGAATATTCTTAAGAAACCTTCTTTACCTGAGGTCATTTATAATATTCTCCTACATTTTACTCTAAAATATTTTTATTTTTACATTTAGGTTTTTATCCCACTTGGAGTTTATTTTTATTTGTGGTGTGAGGTAGACCAGACCCCTTAACATTTTTTAATCCAAGTATAATATATACACAGAAAAGTACACACATCATAATGATACAGCTCAATAAATATTTACAAAATGAACACCAGGGCTGATGTGAGGGTGAGGCAAACAAGGTGAGAGTGAGTGCCTCCTGAAATTTTGCTCCCTAGGTATCTTGTTTCCCTCACTCTTGCCACTGCCCTATGGAGTAAACATGTTTAAATCAGTACCTAGATTAAGAAACAAAATACTAGCAGCACCCCCCCGCCCCGAAAACCTAGTCTTATTTTGTAGTCATTGTTCCACTCAACAAAAATATCTCTATCCTGACTTCTATTAGCATAGATTAGTTTCTCTTGTTTTTATTTTACAGATATAGAATCATAGAGTATGAACCATTTTTTCACTCAACATTATGTTGTGATATTTATCCACAGTTCTGTAGAGCATTCTCACTATCCATCTAGGTTTGTGGTGTTTGTTTGTTTGTTTTTAATCCTCACCTGAGGATATTTTTTCCATTGCTTTACAAAGAGAGTAGAAAGGAGAGAGGTTGGGAGGGTGAGGGGGAGAGAGGGATTGAGAGAGAAACGTCGATGTGAGAGAGACACATCAATTGGTTGCCTCCTGGGGGCCAGGGATTGAGCCTGCAACTGAGGTACATGCCCTTGTCCAGAATTGAACCCGGGACCCTTCAGTCCGTGGGTTGATGCTCTAACCACTGAGCCAAACTGGCTAGGGCACTATCCATCTAGTCTTGATGGGCATTTGAGTAATTACCTATTTTTGACTATTATGAATAGTACTTCTCTGAACATTCTGAACATGTTTTTAGTGAAATATGTACACATTTCTGGTAGGAATATAATTACTAAGAGTAGAATTTCTGGGTCAAGAGATATGTGTACATTTAGCTTTTAATAGATACTACAAAACTATTTCCAAAGTGGCTGTGCCAATTTACACTTCCATCAGCAATATATGAGAGCTGTGGTTGCTCCACATCCTCACCAACCCTTGGCATTTTCCATCTTTTTAATTTTAACCATTCTGGTGGGTGTGTAGTAGTATGTCATTGTGGTTTTAATTTGCATTTGCCTGGTGACTAATGAATTGAGCCCCTTTTCATATGTTTAGT